AAAAAAAAAAAAAAAAAAAAAAAAAAAAAAAAAAAAAAAGATCAACACTTTGAGGCTCCTTGTTTTGCAGACAAAAGCTAGGAAGCCCAGAAAAAATGAAATGCTGCTTAAAAGTTATTAAACTTTATGTAGCCTTTGAAAAATTAATCTTAGTAAAGCTAAATCTTCTCATTTGTGAAGTATAATTAATAAAACCTTTCTCAGGAAATTGCCATGGATATTATTATATTAGGCTACAATCTCTTAAATAATTCTGAAATCCAAATAGCTCTGAAAATCAAATTTTTTAATGACTCATTATGCAGCCAAACCCAACCTCACCCATAATATTCAAGCAACCTTCCATATAATACAGTTTTATTGGGGCACCCCATGCCCATTTGTTTATGTATTGTGTGTGGCTACTTAGTCACTAGAATTGCATGGTTACAACAGACACGAAATGGTTTATAAAGCCTGTAGTATTTACTGTCTGACCTTTTATGGATCAAGTTTGCCCACCCCTGACTTATATGCTTCTACACTGTGTTATATAATTTTCATTTTTTTCTAAAATCTGTAAAATACTAAGCTCAAAAACAAATTGGTGCCTAACAGTTTCCAATAAAATTGCATAAACCTAGAGTAAGTGGATTGTAGACTTTGGAGCCAGCTAGACCTGGGTTTAAATCCTTGTTCTACCTCTTGTTAACTGTAATAACTTGGTTAAGTCTCTGAGCTTCCATTTTCTCATCTGTAAAATAGGAATTATTATCCAATTTTAATCCTTAGATTTTCAGTTACCAGAGGATTTAAATGAAATAATGTACATAAATTACTAGCAGAATTTCTGAAATAGATAGTAAAGAGCAGCTGTTATTATTTTGAAATCTAGTGCCTGGTTCTTATGTTCACAAAGTGACAGTTCCCTTGGTAGAATACCTGGGAACAGACCCCAGATCGCTTGACTTTTTGTCCCATGCCTGTTCCATTGTACTCACAGTATCATAACGTATCACACCTTTCATAACATTTTTCTTTCAAAGCTCTTTCTCAACCATTATCTCATTAGCAGTTATAACAATTTGTCTGCTAAAAATGATTAGCATAAATTTTCCCATTTGAGAGGTAAAGAAATCAAAGCTTAGGAAAAATAATGGCTTGCCCGGAAAGTAAATCCCTGATTTGGGGCTGAGCCAAGGATAGAACTCAGATCTTGCAATTTCTAGCCTTTGTTTTTCCCACCTAATGTCATTGTCTCTCAGTGGTCAGATGAAACATAGACTCCTACCTACTATGGCCGTGTGTTTTCTCTTCTGCCTTGGGCCAGGATGATGGAGAATTGAGGGTAAATGGAGTGAGTAGTTTTTTGGGTTTTTTGTTTACTTTTAAGATAATGATTGAAAATCTTTCCTTTCTCCCATAAGGGATCACAGGATGGTATCCTGTCCTTTTACCAGAAGACACAGGCCTGCCTCATGGCTTGGAACTTATACAAAAGGTTGTGGGTGGTCTGGAACTTTCAGTTTCTTTCACCCGTCCTGGAGATAGAGAAAGGGTACTGGAAGCTGCTGAACTATTGGGTTGGAGCCTTGAAAACAACTTGAAGGATCCTGTCAAGATAGATGAAGAGGAGCTAGCCAGTGTCACCATCTCTACTCCAAGACTGTGGCTGCCCATCCATTGTGTGCTGCTTGCTGGCCACAAGTATATTCATAAGAATACATTTTGCTACCTTCGCTACAAGTTATATGATCATGAAGCCTTCTGGACCCCTCTCAAGAAGCCTAAGGAATCTGCAAACAAAAACCAGGTCATGGTTACTTTCAAGGCGTCCAAAAGAGCAGAAGTCACTCGGGGCCCATCACTGCTTTGGTATTTCAGGGAGGAAAGGCTAGAGATCCAAGTGTGGAGAGCTTATGGCACTGATAATGTGGAGAGGCCCCACCAGACAGACAGCTGGATTGGATCAGCCTATGTGGACTTGGCCAGACTTGGAGAGAGGTCAGCAAGAACACTAACTGTCAGTGGTAAGTGAGGAACCAGGCCCAGTTCTTATGGTTTGAGCACCTGGTCTCTGTCCAGCACTATGTGAGACACCCTGTCTGATACTGTTTTATTTGATCCTCTCAACAATCCTGTGCAATAGGTATTAGATGCATTTTACAGTCTTGAAAATGGAGGCTCAAAAAGGTTGTATCCAGGATCAGAAGCTAGTAAGTATTCTTTCCATTATTGCATGCCGAAAGATTAGTAATTATTTTGTAATCCTTATAATTAAAGAGATTTCAAAGAAGGGTCCACTGGCTGGCTTTTGAGCAAAGAACTGGCTTTTAACTTTGTAGCAGTAGAGTGTACCCAAATTCATCAGTTTTTTCACCTAACACAGCCTAGAATGTTGTGAGCCCTCAGTTAATACATATAGAATAAGGATGAATAAACTTAGGGGAATACCTTTTACTATGTGTATAAAAGCCTACATGATTTCTAGGGTGATGGCTTTTTGATTACACTGAAAAGATATTTGCTAAAGGAGCCAAGATATTCAGTCTCTCTGATCAGCACATCTTAGAATCATAAAGAAAATCTACACAGTATTAAACTGACTCACAAGGCAGAGAGGAAAATGATAATAGTTTGTAAGTGATATGTGCTGGTTACTATTCTTTCAGTTTGCTTGGCATTTGATTCATGTTCTGGGAATTTAAAAAAATGAATAGAAATAGTACTTGGCCTCTTTCACTTTATAGTCTAATGGGGGAATAAAATAGTAAATAATTATAGTAAAACATAACTTTAAAAAGATATTTTCAGTGTTGCTCTGCAAACTAAAGGATGCAAAAATCTTTGATTAAAGGACAGTATCTTCCCCACAGGCCTGTGGGTATATTTTTTGGTAAAGTACTTGGGCATATTGTGCACATAGTTCATACTCTATTGTACAGCATCTAAGCTATATAGATGCCATGGGGTGACAGTGTACCATAAAAACTAGAGGTAGTGAGTTAAACAACATTTAAGTATCTTTTTGTTGTAATCGATAGAAAAGATGCATCTTGGAATTGTTACAACACCTCTAGGCAGTGAGTATCAGGACTTGTCACTAGGCTGGCAGCAGAGGGGCAGAAATAAGTACATAGGACAGATGTGAGCAAAGTGTTTAGATTTACATTTTGATGAGATGAATCCAAGTGTCTTCTAGCTATACTATAGAAATACATTAATAATTTAGTGGTAATATCTTAATAGTAAAGAACTGATAACTCTGACACATGGCTTGGTATAATCTGTTGCTTTATGTCTCACTTTAAACTGAGCATTAAGGAAATCTAGTATCGTAATTGTAACTTTCCCAATACTTCTATCTAGAGGCCTGTTGCCATTTTTATCTTCAGTGAAATTGTTGTTCCCAAGAAAGGCAAGATTACAATTTTTTTATAACAGATTGAGTTGGTGTAGTGGGTTTTTAGTTATCAAAAATCCTCTTGTAGCTTTGGGATTTTGAATTGATGAATATTCATGATGTGTAGAGAAGCATGATACACACTGTACAAACTCAATCACAAAATGGCATGTCGTATATGTACACACAGGACCTAAAAGAACACACCCAGCTAAGCTGCTTATGACTGCGAATGATTTTGTTCTTTGCTTCTTGTATTTTTTCCTGTAATGCATATATTAACTTTAAAGAAATCAAAATTTTTTAAATCCAAAAAAAAATTTAAAAGGACAGAATCTTCTAATTTAGAAATAAAGCAAGAAAAAGAAAAAAGAAAGGAATTCTAGAAAAGGGAAGTGCCTATGTGAAGGCACAGAGACATGAAGCAATTGAATACATTTTAGGTGCTATACATAATGTGGACAGCTGAATCATAGGGTACATAGGTTAGGAAATGCTGGGTAGACAAGAGTTCTACATTGAAGACCTTTTCAACTAAACAGACTACATTGGGCTTTTTCCCAAGAGGCATGAAAAACTATTATTTTGGGTTCTGAAAAGAGGTAAGATGTAGCTTTGCACTCTAGAAAAACAAGGCTAGTGACTATAATCCAGAATAAATTGGAGCTTGAAAGGTATGCTCCACTCACTTTACAATTATATTTATTCAGCTTACCAATCTGTAAGGATATTTTTCCCACTCTACAATTGAAGAAACTGGGTCATGACCTAATTTTAACCCTGTTAGCCTTTCACTCTGACCATTTTGTTGAACAGGTGGCCCAGACTAAAAAAGGAACATTGAGTGTGTTTGAGTGGCTGTCAGAAGCACCCCGGTGAATATTTCCTCAAAGATTAAAGAGTCACCAGGAGTAGTGGCACACATGTGTGATCCCAGAACTCAGGCAGGAGGATTGCAGCGAGTTACATTGGAAAATGTTACTGTTTCCTGCTTTCCTAGGCTTATTCTTCATTCTTTTACAGGTGTATATCCTCTGTTTGGACGAAATGCTTCTAACCTATCAGGAGCTGCCCTGCGAGTTCATGTGGTTCTTTCCTCTCTTTCTCCACACACTGAGCCCACTCATGAGCTGGATTCCATGGACTGCAGCAGCCACAGTGAGTCTGAGCAATTTCCCAGAGGGAATGATGAGATGCAGCTCTCTCCACCCTGTGGCCACCAGAAGTCTTCTGCATCTACCCAGGTTCCCTGCAACAGCACTACAGCTGAAGTCTGCCTAGCCCAGGAGGGCCCTGCTGGGCTGGATGGAACTTTTGCTGTCAGCATCCTGGTAGAAAGAGCAATGCACTTGAGCTTGAAAGGTATGCTCTGCTCACTTACCCAGAAGAAGTTGCCTGACTCTTCAGGGTATGGTCCTGTCTTCACCAGTCTTCAGTTATACTGTCAATAACATAAAGTCATAGGTATTTTCTTATCAATTTGCTAAGCCAAGCTCTTGCAAAAATCATTTGCATGCTTCCTTAGTGTCTACATTGGCTAACCTTCTGCCTTCCACAAGTTCTGTATGCTTGTGCCTTTCACACTTTGGAAGCCTTTCTTTGAGGAAGGAAATGAGTGGTTCCTTTGGCCCAGGCTTCATGCTAAGGATTCACATACAGCCCTGTACTCTAGGATCTTAGCAAAACTTGAACCTGAAGCAGCTTTACAACTTCCTACAGTCCCCATTATAGTTCTGGTATCAGTGTCCATCCTGATGGTTGCTCTGAACTGGCTACAAAATAATTTCAAATAACAAGTGACTTACAGGTTTTTAAAATAAAAGAGCTTCTTGAATACTTTTATTAGAAAAGCCTCTGGGGAGCCTTCCTTTAAGAGTTAGTATCAAGCTGGGCAGTGTCCATGCCTGTAGTCCAGCTACTCAGGATGCTAAGGCAGGAGAATCACTTGACCCAGAAGTTTGAGGACAGCCTGGGCAATATAGTGAGACCATCTTTAATTTAAAAAAGAAAAGAAGAGGATCAGGATGGAGCTCAGTGGCACTGTGCCTGCCTGGCAAGCACAAGGCCCTGAATTCGGTCCCTGGTTATGCAAAAAAAAAAAAAAATTCTAAACTAAAAATAAGGAAAGAAAAATCAACTTCAGTAGTCTTAAGATTTGTGCACTTACTTTAGACAGTGCAGGTATTTCTAGCCCTGTTATATAGTTAAGGCAGCTGAAGTACAGAAAGGTAAAGTGATTTGGGTAATAAAGTTATACCCAGTAACCACCAAAAAAAAGCTTCAGTATCATAAATTCTAGAGGTGCTCTTTGACCCACCCAGGCCATGATAGCTTCCTGTGCTCTTGGAATAATAATCTTTATCTTATAACTACTGTGTTTGTCACCCCTAGATCAAGAATCAGATCTGACTTAGCCAGATATGGTGTTGCATGCCTATATTCGCAACACTCTAGGAGGCTGAGGCAGGAAGATCACAGGTACAAGCCAAACCTGGAGCCAGGTGTGGTGGCGCACACCTGTAATCCCAACACTTGGGAGGCTGAGGCAGAAAGAGTGAGACCTTGTCCCAAAGAAAGAAGAAAAAGAAAAAAAAAAGTCAAACCTGGGCAATGTAGAGACTTAGCAAGATCCTGTCTCAAAATAAGAGAGATGGGGATGTAACTCATTGTGAAGACCCTTCCCTCCCAAAAACAAATCTAATTTTATATGACAGAGGTGTCAGTTAATCTTCACTTAGTAGAACTGGATTACATTTTTATAACATACAAAATTAGTTACTGCTTGAGAAGAAAGTTTCCATCCATTCTCGTTCGGCCAGAGGGAAACTTCATTTATTTATTTATTTATTTATTTATTTATTTATTTTTGGTACTGGGGATTGAACTCTGGTCCTAGTGCTTGCATGGCAGGCAGCGGAACCACTGAGCTAAATCCCCAGCCCTTGTTTTGGTACCTGGGATTGATACTAGTTTTGATTTGTACTTCCATAATGGTTAATGATTCTGAGCATCTTTTCATGTGCTTATTGGCCATTTGTATATCTTTTTTGGAGACATGTCTACTTAGATCCCTTGTCAATTTTTAAATTACACTGTCATTATTGAATGTAATAGTTCAGTAATATTTATGTAGTTAAAGTCTTTTATCAGACTCTTGGTTTACAAA